CTACGAGCCCAGTCATGGAGCAGGACCCTGTTGTGCTAGGTGCTGTACAGACACAGAACAAAGAGAAGTTCCTTGCCCCAGGAGCTCACAATCTAAGTATAAGACAAGAGACAACAGATGGATACAGACCAACAGGAAAGTGCAAGGAAACAATGAGACGGTATTGGTCAGTACAACAGGCAGAGATCCCAGCACGCTAGCAGATGTGCTCTTAGCTACATCCATACAGCAGCTGAGAGGGTACTTCCCAGTGCGGGTGGACAGATATGTGCTAGCTCCGCTTGAGCTAGTGTGCTAAATATAGCAGCGTAGCCATGGAGGCACGGGCAGCAGTTTGGGCTAGCCAGCCCGACTACAAGCCTGTGTGACCCTCTGGGTACATTTGTGGCTAGCCCAAGCAGCTGGCTAGGCCGCCACAGCCACACTGCTATTTTTAGTACGATCGCTCAAACAGAGCTAGTGTGTGTCTGTCTACCCACCCCGGAGAGCACCCATGCCAGCCTGTGTAGACACACCCTTAACTCTGGTTTAGTGGAACCTTATTCCATGAGGAGTCCCATGGACTAATGGGAGTACAGTGATTCTGAATGGCAATAAGGATGTCAGAATCTGGCCCTTAGGTATCAGACCAAATCACTTGACAGGCTTCCTTCAATTCTGAAGCTTTCATGATGATGTGCCCCAAGCCAGGGGCAGGGCGTTGGGAAGTGAAAAGGAAGGTTCATGAAACACGCACGCCTGGGGCAGTCTTTTATTGTGCATGTTGAGATGTTTCCCAGAAAGGGCGTTTGAGTAGAAAACATTCCCTGGTGTCCACTGAAGGAGGCCTGTGGGCCAGGACCATCGTGATCAGCTAGGCTGAAGACACCAATACTGACGTGGCAGTAACACCGATCGATGGAGAGTGTTTCAGACCCTTGATTCAGTTCATGGAGAGAATCTCTGCGTGGCAGTGACCAGCTCAGCCCTAAAAGAAGCAGTCACAATTTATGCCTCAGGATGGCCATTAAAAAAAAGAGAGCGATGATTTGTTATTTCCAGAGGGCTTTAACATTGACCTGACCATCAATTCTGTTCCCCAAATAGCTTGAGCTGCCTTATGGGATGGAGTTCCTCCTGCTTGTCTCTCCTTTCAGGGATGGAGTCGAGCCTCCGGTGGGAACTGGAGCACCCATGTCTTCTGAACTGGACCGAGCTCTGGCGCGGATCGTCTCCCTGCTCGGATCTGAACTCTCCCAGTAAGCGCATTCCACTTTCAGCTCCTGCATGCTGGTGTGCAGCTGTAACAGCTTCTCCAGCAGCTGCTGATCCTGGAGCTGCATCTCTGACTGGAGCAGGGCATAAAAATATATATAGCAGTGATGCTGGGTCTTTAGCACTGTATCAGCCTTTGGTTTATGAAACCCTTATTCCATCCATCCAGAGAAGGGGGGAAACAAATATCAGGGGCACAGTCCAGCCACTGCTGTGAACTGCCTGATCTAAACGTGATGGAACCAGTGCTGGAAACCCTCAGCTTAACCTTCATCCCCTCCCTCCTTGCTACAGTCTTCCAGCAGTTACTAGCATTTCTGAGGGGACTTTCTGAAGGGGGAGTGGACATGGGGGAACAGGCTGAAGCCCAAGGGAGGTAGGGTTGGCGAGTCACGGGTGAGGGGTTGTTGAACATGGCTGTCAGAGTTTGAAAGGTGGGTGGACGAGGCTGAAAGAATGAAGTGATCTTTACGATGAAGGGACAGGCTGGAAGGATCGGAAGTGTGGAAATGTGGGGTAGGTCATTGCATCGTAGGCCTTGTCTACACACAAAAGTAGCAGTGCTCTAAGTACACGGGTGAGGTTAAAGCAATACAGCTCCTCGAATGTGGACAGTTATATTGGTGTAGAGGTGCCTTGTACTGGTCTAGCTACTCCTGTGGGAAGGAGGATAAGCTATAAGCATAAGGCACCTTTATACTGCTATAGCTGTGTCCACACCAGGAGTTATACTGATACAGCTATTTCAGCAGAAAAAAGATCACCCCCTTAACCAAGATAGTTAAGCTGGTATAAATCCTGGCCATACATAAAGCCTGCAACATCAGCTGCTTCAGATTGTAGAGTATGAGTAACCAAACATGAGAATGGAACAGTAGAGTGT